GTTTAGCTCGGGCCCTGCGCTTGAGATGCGCCCAAATACATGCTCGACCTGTTCCTTCCCGGCCCTGCCCTCCCACCCTCGGGCTCGAGCATGTTCAGACAAGAATCTTTCATGCCCCCATCCGGTTAAAGTCCATATACAGTCCTCAAACGCCATGCGTGCAGACCAGTTCAAGCTCCCAATCATAAGGACACCGAATCAAACGGAGCATCCGAGGAGATCTCCTTAAATGCATATCCTGTGCATTCTCTAGTTTGCTTGCTTGAATAAACTCTTTGCACTTCTTGTACACATATGGCCAGGTATCAGGTGGCATGGTCTGACGTTTATCGTCTTGTTGTCGGCAGCCACTGCCGTGAGGCCGGCCGAAAATCATGCCTTGCATAGACTGTCACTTATTATCGATAGTTTCAGCCTGGAAAACGTTTCTCAGGTCTCTCTCTCTCTCTCTCTCTCTCTCTCTCTCTCTCTCTCCTCGTCCCCTTCCTCTCTCTCACACACAGAGAGCTTGTGTGACGGTTCTCAGGTCTTGATCTTTTGGATAATCAACGTACATAGCTCATCTCGTAACTTATCCTGTGAATCACGGTCTGAGCATCCTTGTTCTTCCTGAGACTGAGTAGGTCAAAGAAGTTTACAAGATTGTAAACCGATCGAGACTCATCGTGTGATCGAGCATGAGATGCGGCTAAAGCTAGTCTTGGGGTTGCAAACATGAAGCCAGAGGTGGTATGCAACTGGACTGGCTTTAACTGCATTGTTTGTTAACCTCATTTAAAACCGGCAAGCTGATCGTGAGTCAAACGACCTATGCTTGAGGATGACAGGCTGCTGTGAAACAAAGCTAACGGAAGCATTCAACAGATCCCCCGCGACTCTCTTACGGCTGTCGATGGGAATACTGATGACGATCAGCCTATAGTATGAACATGAAGATGATTCACAGCGGCGGCAGCTTGAGACAGACCACTTCAAAGCTCGGCACCCGAGACCACCATGGAACTCGGGCTTAGTGAGATGCTGGACCAACGGAACACTACCTATATCAGGCTCAAGTTTCGGCTAGGAGTCTAAATTGTCATGAGCTACTGGTCTTCTTCCCTCGCGTTGCAGCTCGGAGTCGGGCGTACACGGCTGAGTCAAAAAGTTTTTAGCTCTGGCCACTCAAGCGTTTGCAACCTCGATAAGGCAGATTCTGGGCATACCGTGCTCTAGAACTAGATAATACACTCGACCCCTGTAGTTCGAGCTCCAACTGCCCTGTTCTGCCGGGCCATGTCCTTCAGACGACATGCAGGACCCTCGAGGAGTGGCAGCAAATCGAGACCCTGTGAGCGAATGAAATTTAGAACATTCATTGATGACGATCATGCCGGCTCGTAAAGAGGCACCCCATACAGTACTGTACAGGATAGTATCCAGCCCGTTATTCTTCTACCACTTTTCAGTCTGAAATTCATCCTTTCCAAATGTGCAGCCTTGGGAGTACTGTACCTAACGTCATATTTTGTTTAAAAAACTTGTACAACTAAAATATATTATCGCAAGTTTAGATTTTTCAAGAGTCTTGAAAGATTCCTTTTTCCTTGTGCGTTGAACTTAAGTGTTCCAAACTAGACAGGTTGAACTCTCCATGTACGCTTTCACTTCGCGGGCAGAGAGAAAATGTCATCAGTCCTTTTTTTATTCTCCTCCTTATATTTATATATGACATGTTTACTCATGGTCTCTTGCGATAGTTCCCCCACTATGTGCACCCCCAACCAGATAATCTATATCTGAATTTAGTTATTTGAAAACGCTAAATGCTTTCAGAGGAAGTACATGATGGGTATAGCTAAACCCATATTTGCCCTCTAAATTTACAGAGTATGTAAAGTGAGTTAAAAAAAGAAATTCAGATGGCTCTATACAAGCATGTATGCGTGTCGGGTGAACAATTGAGCACAACATCCACTGTTGGCATAATTTGAGGTTTCCAATGGAGATCCATTATGCAATCTGAATAGCTAACGAGCGAGCCACTAATACTGCAAAAAGGATCGAAAGACCTAATCAGGTCATACGGGTATTATCCAATAGATTGTATGGGGCTAGATCCATACAATCTATCTCCATTGGATATTGCCCTATCCAACCTAATATTAAGATTCACTGTCTGTACACTAAAATACTTACGACATTTACATCAACGCTAAGAGTATTGCACTATAGCAATGGATACGTATTCCTACAGTAGTCTACACAAAATGTTAGTTAAAGCTTTATTTCGTGTCCACTAATATGGTAGTCTTTTCCAACCTTTTGAAAAAAGCTATCAAAGTAGAGGTTATTAACTCCAAAGAATTATTTATTCATAAAAATTAAATTTATGTTCTTCACATAATTATATCATTGGAGGTCTTCTCTTTGTCTTTTTATAGCAACAATTTTTGCAACAAATAAGTAATTGAGGTATAAATTTTCCTTCAACCCGTCAACTAGAAGATGTGTCAATGCTCACTCCAACCAAACGTCATATTACTAATTGCAACATGGTATCTTTCTAAATATGCAATTAATATGTTGCTAATTTTAATAACATACCACTCTTGCAGGTGACTAATGAAGATGGAATCAAATCAAGACAAATCCTCAACATTGTTGTATAAGTAGAAGATAAAAGTTAGAAATCTATGATGCAGCGTTGAACCTAGATCTGTGAGATTGTATCCTAACCAAACCAAGACCATAGAGATCTTACTAATATGAAGGAATGACGAGCTCCAATAAGAGAAGCTTGTAGACTATACTTGAGATTATGTTTTTCAAAATACATGTAAATCTAAAATACATAGATGAAAAAAAAAGTAGATTGTGAAAACAAGACAAAGAATATCTCCTAGGACGTGAAAAGATACACGAGGAAAATATTTAAACATAAATCTTACAAATATATTGATCTCTGTTCAGTTTTAACTTGTTTACTTTATCAAAGTGATGAGAATTTATGTTCCCATTTTAACATAAAAGTACCAAGAATTAAGTAATATCCTTCCTTGAATTTTGCATCATGTATACGTGAGTGCCCAAACTTAGTAGGAAATGACAACTTGAGAGTGGACCGCAATCAATTTACGCAGCAACATGGTACTTCTTTGATTGCCATCCTTAGTTTGATGGTGTCTATACCTTCCCTCCAGTAATATTAGGTTTTAAATATTTTACTTAACTAAATATATAAAAAAAAATTAAGAAAAAAAATAATGTATTAACATTGTATATGATATAGACCGTGCTGCTGGAGTACTTGAATATTTCCACTCAAACTTTTTGATCGCTTCTATGGAGCGTAGAAAGTAGAGGAAGGAGGAGGAAAAAACGACATTCGAAGTAAACCGTAGCACATTAGAGTATACGTACCGTTGTGGCACACCGGACTACACGGGACTGGTTTCTCGTTATACCGAACTGGGAGACCGGAACCACCGGTTGCAGGTTTGCTGTGGGTACCGTCCATGTTAACCGTACAATTTCAGTTAGATTTCCAAGTTTCAGTGACCAATCATAGTTCCCGGTTGGGGTCCTGAACCTTAGACGGGTACAGAGGCCGCTGCCCGTCAGAACCAGTCCGTACCGTAGTAAGGGCAAGACTGGCTTGAGTCACTTCCCACCCCAAGGTCACGAATATTGTCCATGTCACACGTGCTGGTGTGACATGGCAGCTTGTGAAGTTGTGAGCTTACAGTATTGCACACTTTTGAAATTGCACACTCCAGAAGGTTGAGATCCCTGTCCCCATTTACCACTCAGTTTGTAGAAATCTCTTCCTGATCTTCGCGCATGTAGATTTTGAGGTTGTAATTCCCTTTTCTCTGTCCCTTTCTTTGTGAGACTCAAGGCATCTTCTTATGGGATTTGAATATGATATAATCTCAAGTCCATCAGTGGACAGTCTAGGATCCTTACATTGAACTCATTGTAGTTCATGGGACCGTGCAGGCCATATTCTACAGTAGTGTACTTAATAAAAAGATGTGGAAATCGCCTGAATTCTGATGCTTGTTTATTATCAATGAGGGCCGGAGACCAGGTAAATATAGATATTTTCCGCTGACTGGGCACAGTGGGAAGGATCCGACCATGCTTCGAGATACATAGTTCAGAGCATACCTTCGCGCTTCTGGCGCCCACGACGGCGTGACCAAAATAGAAGGTTGGAAAGTACACGCATTTGTACAGTAGATCGCCCCATAGAGCCAATGGATGAGGTTCGTAGGGCCGGGCAGGTGGAAGGCTTGAATCCGCCGCAGGACCACTCATCGGAATCCGAAGGTCGTCAACCCGGTCGCTCGACGACTGGACTGTAGAGTTTCAAAAGGTTTCACGTGGTACATTTGGACCTGAGAACCATGCTTAGCGTAGTACTGCAAGAGGTCACACGTCCGTTAGCGATGTAACTGTACAGTAGAAGGAATATGTGCGAAGCGAACGGACTGGTCTAGTACAGACGCAACCTCCTCCCGTGGCGGTTGTACTCGGGCTACCATCCATCCATCCATCCTACGGTGGCTGCTCACGTAAGATTCCTGACGGATGATCACTGCGGAGGCAGTTCGGTCGGGAGTCGGGACAGTTGCACGGCCGCCCATCCATCCATCCATACATCCATCCACCATTCACTCACTCACTCTTCGTCCTACTCTGGTTCGGTTCTGGCGCCGGCTCTGGTCAATCCCGTCCGTCTCCCCTTCCTTCCCGCCGCCGTTCTTCCGACGTTGGCAAGTCATGAGGAAGGAAGGAAGGCAGGGCGGCGTTTTCTTGTGGCCGGAGAGGGAGGCCGAAAAGGCGTGGGCGGGTCGGAAAATTCCCATGCACCAAAGTCCACAAGGCGAGGGGAGAATGTTGCGTTCCAGTCTTCGGGCCTGCGGCTGCCGTGGTCAGTAGACTCAGTACTACTGCACCCGCGGTAGAGTTGCGACGGAGGTGAGAGCCTCCGCAGAGAGATCCGGTCCCCCACCCTACCCTAACGTCCCCTCTCCTACCCTCCCGTCCAATTCGTTTGTCCTCTCCGCAGGGAAGCGCAGAGCGACCGGGAGGACGAGCGGCGGACTTCTTTCCTGGACCCTTTTAGGCACTGCCTGGAGGCTGCCCGAAGCCGGGCACAGCGTACCTGTCCCCGGATGTAGCCTCCGCGTGTGTTCGTGTTCGTGTGTGTGTGTGCGCGAATTGTCCGTCTCGTCCGACGTCCTTTGGCAAGGCTTCATGAGGCCCGGCTTTGACGGACCCGCAGCGCACACACACAGACAGCTTTTCCTCGGCCTTCGGAAGAAGACCTGTCCTTTATCTATCGAATCATCCATTCAATTCATTCATTATACATCGACGCCTCTCTTATAGAGCAGGCGCTAGTAGCACACGATCCTTCGCCCAGAGACGAAGCAGCAAGGGGAGAGCAGAAGCGAGCAGGACCTAGAGGACCGACTGTGGCCGGGCGTGGCCGTGGCCCAGAGGTTGTTCATATTTAAGCGGCGAGTAGAGAAGGAGACGCCGTCACTTGGACGAGTGATCGGAGCTGTAGTTGAGCATCATTTCGATCCGTGGAAATTGCCAGTGTAGGAGTGTGTGTCTCGTCGCCAGGACAGTGGCTCGGGCTCCGGGTTCCGAAATGAGGGCACAGTCACAGTGAAGGGAGGACTCGCTCGTCTCGCCATAGAGGCATTGGCATCGTTTCAATGTGTGCCGACGAAAACAGCCGAAAATTCCCATCACACTAATCCGCCCGGAGAACCACATGAATTTGGTAGCTGAAGTCACCTCATCGAGGGGTCGAATAATCTCTCCTAAAACAAGGCTTAAAATCCTAGCTTGAGGTTTGTCGAGTTCCCTTCCCGTCGGGCCGGAACAGCTCGACTAGTCGAGATTACTGGCCTTCGCGGAGGAGTGTGTTCTCTCGAACATTGCCCTGCATCAAGATTACAATTGAGGTCGAAACCCTGAGGTCATCGGCTGCGAACGAGCTCAGCCACAGGGACGTCGTAGAACTGGGCTGCTGACCGACACACGCCCCAGTGAAACTCTCGAGTATCGTTTAGTACCACCGCATGTCACCTGACAACACAGAACTGTCCGGGGCGCTCTAAAGTCTGCATCAACTGTCGAATAATTGCACAATTGCCAAATCTCGGGCACGAGCTCAGAGGCTTTGCGAATTGAAAGGACGGCGTGCGTGCCCAGCCCAGCGAAGAAACGATGGTGGCGCTGTTCGGAGGCAGCCCGAGCTTCAGCACGGGGAAAATGCGCGGCGGCGGTGGTGGAGGCGAGATGTACCGGCTGGTGTCGTCCGTGGCATCGGAGGCCATGGGGATTGGAAAGAGCTCCGAAGTGCTGACAGTCCTGGGAGGCAAGGCGTCGTGCCGCCGGAAGTTCGTGCTCAACCTGCATTTGGTGGACGAGTACGGAAGCTTGGTGTCGCGGGACCTCAGCATTGTGGCCTCTGTGGCATACGCGCACGACCAGAGTCCAGTTGTCCGCGACGAGAAGCCGTTCCTGGCCGAACCTCCACTCTTCTCGACCTTCAATGGGGTGGAGTTCCCGGCGCAGGATCGGCCGACTCGCATGGTCTCGGGCCGAGCATCTTTCAAGCTCGCAATTTCGCTGCTCTCGTCCAAGTGCGACAACCGACTCTTCTGCATCTGCTTCACGCCGCAGGCCTCCCAGAGCGATGCGGCTCCCCTCTGCGCCCCGTGCTACTCCAAACCCATCCGAAGCATTTCCCGCAAGAGAACGCAATCCGCCCAAGCCTCTCCGGCGCCGCCCCTCCTCCTCCTCGCAGGCTTGGACGCCGCCCCTTCCTCGTCCGCGCGATTCATGCTCAACACCACCGCCAAGGCCGGAGGCTCCGTCGAGTCCGATGGGCCCAAGTACGCATCCCCTGAAACGAGCAACGAGAACGACGCCGCCGACGGGCCTGCGTCGCCCGGCGCTCGCCACCATCTTCACGGCTGCTCGCGCTCGAGTTCTGTCACGAGCATGCACTACCTCTCGCCTCCGTCTGCGGGCGCGATGGCCCTGGACGACTACGGGGGAAATCGGCGCAGGCCCACTGCGGACAGTGGCGGTGCGGCGGTGCTGGTTCTGCATGAATCCCTGTCCGGGCACAGCAAGGCTGGCAATCTTGGGAATCTGTCGGCGAGCGGAGCTGCGGACAGGTTCGGCGACACGGATCCGAGCGGAAGCTCGAGCGGCAACATGGCATCGATGTCTCGGAGTCCGGCTTCCTCGAGTCCTGTCATGAATATGAACGACCCCAACAACGCCGTTCCCTGCTCCTTGTCGCTGCGGTTGTCGCCTTCGGATTCTGGGAGCCCGACGTCGGGTGCGCTCACATCCGAGAGCAGCTTCGATAACAAAGACCCCGCCGTGAGGCCCAAGTCTTCATCCTTGGCTGCCGGGAGCTCGCGGCCTTTCAGTGCGCCCTCCGTGCCCGTGGGCTGCACTGGCGCTCGACCTTTTCGTCCTTACGCTTCCGTGGGAGCATGCAAGGTTCCCATGGCTGATTTTCAGCTCGGAACGGGAATTTCGCTTGCCAGCGCTCCGCAATCGGCTGCGACTTACAGCACCCGACAATCGACTGCGTCGCTGAACGAGGCGGGCCACTCAAGTGCTGCAGCATCGACGCACAATCTTTTAGAAAGAGTTCAACAATTACGGGCCGTCTCGCCGGGTAATTCCGGGGGCAAAGGCGACCAGATTCTGCACAACTTTTCCCTAGGCTCGTGCAACGGCGATGACAAGTTTCCCTCTGCTTTGACGGAAATTTCTCTGGAGGAGGAAGAGAAATCTTTGCAGTACATTGAGGTTAGCCTTCAGGAAGTGAGCAGAGACGTGCAGAGGAGGAAGGAAGAGCTGCGCTCGAAGCGTAGGAGGCTGATGGAGGACGAGGCTCGCATGCACTCGATCATTTTCCAATCGTCTTCCTGGATTGAGAGTCTCAGTGGCAGATTCAGTCTGTGAATTTCCTAGCTCAACATTCTTCGGTTCGAATCCGTCCCCGGCGACCATATATTGTTTGGCATGCAGTGTTCTTCTCTTTGGCCTCACGTCAAGGAACTTTCATCACAAAGCTAGATTCAATCTGAGCTGCTTCTGAGCTGGGATCAGGAACGGTGCTTCGAGCATGTTCATTCTTCACCAAATTCAACGACACCTCTGCGAATCATGATCAGGTAAAGGTTTTTTAGCGACTTCAAATGCCTCCAAAAGCTGCTCGGATCGAGTAGGCTTTCACTTTCGCAGTGATCTGTAGATTCTTCATCTGTGCCCTGTTCGAACGAAATTGAATGACATTCTGCTGGCCTCATGGCCTGAAATTTTCTCACTCAAGATCGCTTTGAACAATTCATCCATGAAAGTTCATCGGTTTATGGGAAACATTATTAGAGTAAGCCCTTCTTAGCTTAGATCCTGGCCCGCAGGAAAATGTAGTCACTCGGTGTTCCCAAGTCGGAACATTTGCAAACTTTGATTACCTCACATTAATGAGGTCCTACTCGACCATTCAGGTAGAACTTCTCCCCGGTCAAGAGAAACCGATTTTTCGGATCATGTTTTAATTTATTTCTCCCAAAAGCTTGACATTGTGTGACCTGGGGCTATAAGGCAGACACGGCACCATTTTGTGGTTCCTAAACATCGTCGCTGCGTCTAATGGTTCATTCTGACTGTGTCGGCGGATAACTGCTCGTTCAGTCTAAAGTTGAGAAGGTATACAACAAGCGTGTTCCCGAGCCCTAGCGATTCTCTTAAGCCTGTGAATATCATCCTTTCGTTCCTCAACTGAAATGTCTTCGTTTTACAAAACTCTGGTGAAGTCAGCGAGCTTCGTCGTGAATACAATGCGTCAACTTACCCCAAACCGGCAGAATAACAGCGAGACTTAAGAAACACTGTCCCTCCCAATCATTCAGAAAATGTCGTCTGATCTGATCTGTTTCTTTCTCATGGGGTTTCTGTTCGTGCTGTTGTCCCTTCGAATCACTCGGACAACTAACTAGATGTCTGTGAGTCTGTCAAATGTTGCATGTGAAATCCCCGCTTCCCTTGTGGCCACCACGAAAGACCAGAACGGCCGGCTCAGATCCACGTTTCAGCCGCTTCCCAGCTCGGATCCAAGGCACAATCACAGCTTTCATACCTTCCCCAGACTGCCCGATCGTGGCCGGGAGGCACACCGAGCAGAAAATCCTCAATCTCAGTGTCTGACGCTGTCGTAGATGTCGCTTGCATGCATGCAAGCGAGTTCCAGGATGAAACTAGCTAGCCCAGAGTCCGAAGGTCCTGCAGGCCGCATCCATGTCGGGCGGACTGCTGGCTCGAAACTCTCGATCTTGCATGCTCCAACTGGACACGATGTCTCAAACTTTCTATCGGACCGGCGCCGCACTGGGAACTTTCAGCGTGGGGCAATGAAATTGCGGCGACGAATGCACGCATCGGTCGACATCGATACAGTTGTACCTCATAAAATTGCGACAACCTTCCGATCTTCAGCGAGCATGAATCCATCGGGTGGTGGTACTGCTAGATTTGCAAAATGGCTGCATCGCGCACTCGCTCGCTCGCTCGCAAACTCACTCATCGCCGCATGCACCCGTACGAGAACCCACGTTTGCGTGACAAAAGAGAAGGTTGGACCGTTCAGTCGAAGCTCGAACATTCTCCATCAAGACCAGAGTCCGGACCGGACCGGACGGGACCGGACCCGATCCGACCCCAGCCTCCTAGATCCGTAAAGTGCAATCTTGAAATCGACATGGAGATCCCATGCCCACAGTCCAACGCACGCATTCGCGGCTTTTTGCGTGACCGCGAGACCGTGACCGAGTGCCATCACTTTCGGCCTTAGCCCTTTCGCTCGCCCGCTCGCTCGCGAGTCGACTCGGTCCCTCGTTGTCCGTTCCGTTGGGGTCCTCAATGACGCCGCTCCCTCAGACAGAGCAAGGCAAGGCTGCAAGACCCCGAGCCATGACTCGACTCTGAGCATCATCATTGGCTCATTCGAAAGCCTGTTCGACCCTACAATTCATTTCCTTTTTCCTCGGGCCACCGTACCCGAGTCCAGAGATCTTGGGACCGGCCAGCAGCTGAGCTAGCAGCCAGGACTTCAGCTGCAGCCCGAGCTATCAGAATTTTACATGTTTCTACACGTGTCGTCATTGCCTGCCTGGCCTTGGGAAGTTGGGAATCTGATCCCGAGCCACGTGAGAACAGTGCTTCGTCGTTTCCTTTTATCTTGATTTTTTTTTTTTTTCGGTGCATCTTGTCTCGTCGAACCTACGGTACATGTACCCATTGAGAATCGAGCAGTAGCGAAACGGATTGCGAGTCTTACTCACATGGATAATTGTACCGATTGATGAGAGCCCTTTCTCATTTTCTCATACCCCAATGATTTTGGTCACACGCTCGTTCGCTGCTCGTACTCTATTCCTTCGCACGCTCCCACGGCCACCGTTACCGTCCTCCCTCGACTGTTCGGTACGCCTTACAATTCATCAATGCTCTGAATTGGCTTGCGAAATTTCGTTGCATGTTTCTTTCTCTTCTTCAACGATATTTTATAGCAAAATTATTGGAACTTCTCTTAACTCGGATAAGTATCAAATCCTATGACGTATGTCGTTAGCCCTAATATCATGTAGGTCTACATGATACTTGAACGTCGGAATAATCATCACCTCACGTTATACTAATTTATAAATTCTAAAAATCATGCCTTCGTTTCAATAAATTAAAATGTAAATATGAAAAAAAAAATATTTTGTGACATAGTACGTAATGAAACTTTGTCACCATATCAGACGTGTGAATGTTATATTTCATGCAACTCTATTTTGCTCGTGAATCTTAAGCGACATAATTTGAACATACTCATGTCATGATGTTTCCTTTTGTGAAATGAATAAATATCATGTATAACTGCCATGGAAATTATAATATTATAAATTTTCACTTTTATATAAAATTTAGCATCTAGCAAATAATTGATAATCTGAATTTGAATCAGAATGATTTCATCAACGGTAAATATTATATTGATCTTTTAGAACACTTAGTACATCAATAGCTTCGGACAATATCTTTCTATTCTTTTGTCGAGTTATCCATGGAAAATCGGGGAAAAGGTCATTGTATATTAACCCGTAAGTCTTGGTAAAGTGTTATCTCACAATAACTCATACTCACCCACTCACAAGAATTTTCCTTTTATGATCCATTTTCAAATTGAGAAACTCTCTTCAAGTATGGATTTTGATTTTTAATTTGTAAGTATGTTGTTTTTTTCTACAAATATTCTATATTCTAACTATCAAAATCAGTGTCATGTTGCAAGCTCAATATAGTATGTGTAAAAATAAATCAGACTCTTCTGGAAACAATAAGCCTATTTAATTCAGTTCAAAAAATCAATTTAGTTTCAAAATATATTAATTTGTTTTATAATGATTTCATTTGGAGAGGTTTAAAAAAATTTAATATTAAATTTACAGGATATGTTAATCATATTAATGGAACATTTTTTAAAAAATAACATAATATACAAAATAATTCCACTATACGGACATGATTAAGAGATCAATCATAGAACTTAAGGAGTTAATTATGAGAGTCAATTAAGTAACTATATCTTTCAACTTTTATTCATATAATATGGAAAAAAAATTCTAAATTAAAACTCAAAATATTTGAATTTCTCCAACATATGTAAATAACGTAGTTTAAATGCATACTTTACTTCTATATGAATAACTACATAATTAGACTATATTTACTTATAACATGTTACAGCATGAAGTGATAGGTTACTAACAAACTGCATAAAAGTCATGTAGTTACATCATCATCAAAAACTTCTTGTTTCAGATTTTTAATTTTTGTTCATGTGTTTATTTTTTCCTGCAGTAATAACGAAATAAATGGATCTGATAAGTCAAGCTTTAATAAATTCTGAAACAAGATATTGTATTAAGCACATATCAGACAGATGATATTAGGAATGTGATTTTTAAAGATACATAAAATCCCTATAGATGTTACAAACAAATCGGTTGATCAATAAATTAAACAATTTGAGAATGTCACAAATTCTGGAATTATTTCTTTTGTATTATTTTTTTCTTTAAAATATACTATGAGGAATTTTAAATATCAAGTAAAAAGGTTGATAGATATTTTAGACTGTAGAAAAAACTTCAGGTTCATTTATGTTTTTGAATGTAAGTGTTTCTATTTTTAAGAAATATTTTTAAAAAGATAAGTTCTAAAGTACATAGAGTTTATGACCTTCGAATAGCACAAATATAAATCAAATTAAAAAATGTATATTCAATATCTTAAGATGGTCATGGTTCATTTACATGAAGTTATGTTGAGCTAGTAATGAGATACTACTTAAATCATACAACAATAAATATAGACCCGAAATCGGGATAAGTGCAAAAATGTTAGATTCAAATTGTCCGTAACGAAGAGTATCCTCCCGAGGTGTAGCATTCAGAGAGACGACTGTAGCTAGTACGAGGTCGTCAGATCATCTTCCCACGACCAGATTTATGAGCATTTACTGGCATATGGCAGTTGACAACGGACGATGAGCTGAAGTACAGATCCATTCCTGTCCGCGTTAAGAAAGGATGTTGACGCTCGAGTGAAAAACAGTCTAAAGTGCTGAGCAGCTCGAACTTCACAATGTATTCATGGATGGACGTCTTATCCTCGTTCATTAATCTGATAGTACATCTGCCCTTTACAACCAATTCATTTCTGAGACATCATTCTCTACGATGTACAGTGGTAAATTATTATGAGGTCTTGGAATGTTAGTACGGTATGACTTTACATCTTAAAAGCGATTACATCATTATTCCGAGTCATAATGTTGTCCCACTTGTGTCTTTTACAATGATTCACGTGAAGGTGTTACAACATAGAATGTAAGCTTTTTAACCTATCAGTGCTAAAACTTCCAGATCTTTTTCTTCTTTTCGCCAAGTCTCCATTTCATAACCCTAGAATTTCGAATGTAAGTTATAATTTCTATTAGATATAACACAACAAAAAGGGAGAAATGAATTATAGCTTCACTTTATAATAATTATCGTTCACTTTACTAAGTTGAGTGATAATTAACCAAGAACAAATATTCAAACTAATTTGTAGGTGTTAAAATTGAAATTTATTTATGATGCTTAGATATATTTCTCAATTGTGACAAGGCAAGGGTAGATAGTTTCTTGATCGGACTCTTGCCTGTTACAATAGAATGAAATGATTAAATTGAAGAAGATTTTGTTAAGTTTGAAGCTAAGCGCTGTTGCGGGTGAGGCTTGGACAGAGCTTTGCAAGTTTCGTTTTCTCAGCCCCAATTAGTGGAAGTAATGACTTCTCGAGTTCACATTAGATTGGTCTAATCGCAAAGGTGGTGATTCACACGAATGGAGTAGACTTTGAACCGCTCTTGTTGAGCGATCTTGTACCTACAATCACACCTGATCTCTATTAGGTTGTTATTGATGAACTCTGACAGTGTAGGAGGAGGTCTAGAGGCCACTTTCACTTTAGGCTAACTAGCCGCGCCGTACGC